AGAATATATATTTCCTATTTTCAGCTTTCAAATTTTTGTTAATAGTGACACATATCATAATATAAATTAACAATTACATGTGTCGTGATCTAGTGAGTAATAATTTTGCCTACATATCGCATTCTCATCGCGCGCATTCTCATTTATCTAATAAGATTGTGTGCAATAAGAAAAACAATAACTAATGATTTAATCTATTATCCTAAATCCAATTTTGCCATGTATTGCCAATTTTAGTCAAGATTTTGTTATATGTGCCAATTTTGATTAGTTGATAATTATTAAAAAACATTGAAAAGATAAAAGATAACAAATGAACACTGTTTGAAAGTTGATGTATTAAATTGGACAAAATAATTAGTTGGAATATTAAAATGGATAATAAAAAGGTTAAAGTATTAAAAAGTTTATTACAATATTTTAGGAACAATTGTAAAAATATCATTTTTGGATATCACTTTTCAAAAATGTCACTTTTTAAAAATAGTTGCAAAAAACCACTAATTAAAGATTTTTAAATCTCTAAATCTTAAAATTCTAAACTCTAAAAAAATGCTTTGACCCATAATAAATCCTAAACCATCAATACTAAACTGTAATTATATATTAAATAAATAATTTTGAAAAAGTATATTTTTATAATTTTTTTTTAAAATGACCCATTTTTGAAAAATAACATTTTTTTAAAAAAATTAAAAAAAAGGCAAAATTTAGGGGTGGGAGGGAAAGGTGAGGAAACGGTTAACCACAGAGACTAATCTAGTTTCTACGGAACCACCATACGAACCAATCCCAACCAATCTGGACTACTTTGGAGATTAGTCTCTTATGTAACCATCGACGTTTTTTATTTTTTTTTCGGGGGAAACGCCGGCCAAACACCCCCAGCCTAATTTCCCATCTTCTCAAGGAATGGTTTAGGGTTTAGATAAGCATAAGCAGACCCATCTCCAGGGTCCCACCCCATTATCAATTGTTTTTAAAGTCTTCTCTATTTAAACAATCCAACACCAATCTCTGCTTTCGATGTGGGACAAGTTCTGCATTTAAAGTTTGAAGACAAAAACTCCTACCCGTTTCGTCACTCGTGACGTCAACTTTTTAAACCGGAAAATCAAACCACTAAAGCCCAACTCTGAAATAAATGAAGCGACGAGCTAAAAGAGAAGACAATGGCAGAGAGTCGATCAGAGGAAGTGAAACTGTTAGGGATGTGGGTGAGTCCTTTTAGCCGTCGGATCGAGATAGCTCTCACTCTCAAAGGTGTTCCTTACGAGTTCTCAGAGCAAGATATCACCAACAAGTCCTCTTTGCTGCTTCAGTTAAACCCGGTTCACAAGATGATTCCGGTTCTTGTCCATAATGGTAAACCCATCTCAGAATCACTTGTGATCCTTGAGTACATCGATGATACATGGCCAAACAATCCAATCTTGCCTCAAGATCCGTACGACAGAGCTATGGCTCGATTCTGGGCCAAATTCGTTGATCAACAGGTACGATGACTTTCTAAATCTTCCATTTTTTAGTAACCGGTTTGGTTTTCTAACCCGGTTACTGGGGACTATTCAGATTTATGTGGCGGCGATGAAAATGGTGGGGAAGATCGGAGAAGAGAGAGACGCGGCTGTGGAAGCGACGAGAGATTTGTTGAAATTGTTGGAGAAAGAGCTTGTTGGTAAAGATTTTCTCGGTGGGACAAGTTTAGGGTTTGTGGACATCGTGGCGACTTTGGTTGCGTTTTGGCTGATGAGAACGGATGAGATAATCGGAGTCAAGATTGTTCCGGTGGAGATGTTCCCGGAGATTCATAGATGGGTGAAGAATCTGCTGCAAAACGATGTCGTCAAGAATTGTATCCCTCCTGAAGATGAACATCTCAAGTACATTAAAGCTCGCATGGATAGCCTCAAAATCAAATCGGTCTGAGATTAGTATATGTGGTTTCTTGTGTTTGTATAGTCAAACAAGAAATTTTGAATTTTACTGTCTTGTTCTATCTAAAGATGATGTTCCCATGTAACATACATATAAGAAACTCTCACTTTTGTTGCTACTCTGATTCAACTTGCACGGTTACATGATAAATCCCAAAAGCTTTCCTACAGAAATTTCTAACATCCGAAACAATCTCTTTAGGACTAGCTTCAGGCTCAGGCAAGACATGGCACGATAATACGATTCTCCCAACTGTTATCTCCCATACGTGGAGATCGCGAACAATCTTAACTCCATTGATACGTCTAAGCCCTCTCTCGAGCTTCTCGATGTCCATATCTCGTGGTACACGTTCCATCAGTATACCAAATATGTTGTTGAGCATTGGGAGTGTAGCAGCAAGAGCGAAAGCAGAGAAAACAAGAGTGCAGATCAAATCAACCAAAACCCATTTTGGTTTCACCCAAATGATTCCTCCACCGATCATAACACCAAGTGATTGTATCATATCAGCCATCGCATGAAGGTAAGCTCCTTGTATGTTAATGTTCATCTCCTTGGATGGCGATTTCTCCCCTAAACCACCTTTTAAAGGATCCATCTCCTCCTCTACATCTTCCTCCTTGTGAGAATGT